CTCTGCATCGAGTGCCAGGCCAACCAAGCCTCCGCCACCAGCGAAGAATGCACAGTCGCCTGGGGCATCTGCAACGTACGCTCTAGCATGACACTGCACTGACCCGTACTGACACATGACAGCACGCCTTCCACTTCCACTGCATTTCACGATGGCTCAAGACCAGACAAGTCTGCCCGTTAGACAACCGAGACTGGGAGTTCCAAAAGTACGGCCGATAGACGCTCGCACAGCCGTGGAGAGATTGGTTTCAGCAGGGACAAACATGGGTCTAGGTTTCATTAGGACGTCCGGCGTTAGTAGGGCCTTCACAAAAGGGCTATGATAGCATGAAGAAGTAGCAGCGTAGGCGGTCATCATCGTCGAATCAGATTCCATTACGATCGTGAAGTGTCCTGACCAAGCGACTCCCTTTCGTGTCCCAGCGCGACTATCCGACTTTCTGCCCGTCTACGTCGATGTTGTACTGTGATGTCGCGTTGTGCGGCGGGAGCCAGTCCTCGGGGTTCTTGTTGTAAAATGGCCACGGGGGTACGACAACGAGGAATGTGAGCGCGGAGCCGGCGAGGCCAATGTAGAGTGCCATTCGAATGTCTTGCTGCAGGAAGCCAACGATGAATGCGATGATCTATGTTGTCAGCTTGTTGAAGTGTATCAGGCGGGTGAGGAACACATACGCCAGCTGCACCAAGCAGGACAGTGCTCAGCATCTCTGCAAGCCGCTGGCCCTCAAAGTCCTGGTCCTGTTAGCACATGCGTCAAGTCAGGTAGCGGCGTCGCTGTCGCATACAATCTGGCCCTCGACCGCGTCGCGCACCTGCTCCAGAAGCTGGTCGGCCATGGTGATGGGGTATGCTGGATGTCCGAGTCGTGATCGTTGTATTTGAAGGCTAGGTTGGTGAAGATCGGGAACGGATGTCACTTGGAACTCTACTGAACGTCTAACGGGCCTAACTGTCTCGGAGAGGTGGCATTACCACGAGCCGGGACATGTAGAAGACAGGGGTCCGCAGCCGCACTAGCCTTCACTAACGGCGCCTCTTGATTTACGCCCAACATTGACGCAACAACAGCATTTGGTACCTGGTTCGCCATGCCAGGTGCAACAAGAACCTTGGCCGGTTAGGCCGCGGAATGTGCGGCACCACTTTCACTCGCTCTCTCCACAGCGGCCGAGTTCTCGATCAGTCACATGCATGACCGTTTGTCGTTCTCTGAGCGCGCCTGCCCAATCAGAGCGGGCCAGTAGGTTCCGTCGCTGCACAAGCTTTTTCCTTGACCCATCGCTCAATCGCGGTATTTGAGTCCCGCACCGTCCCTTCAACAACACTCCCACCGTCCCCTGGACTTCCACCCACCGCACTTCCCATCGACTTTCAACCGCCTCACGATACCAACTGCCAGCAGTCGCGATCGCGCACCCTCCACCTATCCGGCTCTTATCTCCGTGGACCGCCATCCACCACCGCGACTGATCGCTCAAGGGGTCTTTGTTTTTGCAACCGTCCCCTTACACCGCACCTTCTGACGCTACGGCGTCCATATACATACAAACCACCAAGTTGGCGGGACTCTACCTCGACAAGCTTTCCTTCATCCGCCCCTTGCTCGGCACAAAGGCCTGGGTATACGGAGGCGACCACAAGCCACCATAACTTGCCCTAACAGCAAACACATTCATTCGCTACTGCATCACCGTCTCTACATTTCTTCCTATTCCCACAGGGTGTGGAAGTCTGGCTACCGGACTCTGTCTCCCATCGGCTTAGTGTAGGGGACCACCCTACGCGAAGCCATCGTCAAGTTGAGCGCGCCCTAGAGGTGAGCGCTCACAAGCGACTCGCCCGCTTCTGTGGTTCTTGCGCTGCAAGAAGTCGCTGAATCCACCAACAACCTGGCTTAACCAAAGCATACGACATCTGATTCGGAGTCCTACTCATCGCCGCCTGAGTCGCCAATATGACTGACACTCCGAGATCCGAGAACCAGACGAGGTTCAGCACCCCGGTGTCTGACCTCGACGACCACCGCCACCAGCCCGTATCGCTCCCACGAGCCGATGCCACTTCGCCCCCTAGGTCGCGCCGACCAACGTTCGCAAGCGTTCAAGGCCAAGACCGACCCAACATACTCCTCCAAGTCAACGAGGCTCTCGAGGCAGACATCACTCGGCGCGATTTCGAAAGCGCCGTCGTAGACGATGACCAACACTTGGCTCCCGATGCCTACATCCGCCGCGGTTCTCTGGCGCACAGCCCACAGGCCCGTCGAGAGACATTCCGGCGCCCGCGCGACCCGGCAGTCGAGCGCCTGACTAGGAGCAGGGCTTCGTCGACCACTTCGCGCTCCGTCTCCCCTCCCAACTCTGTCGACGCATTCGCCGGCCCTAGGCGCCGCGACCGTGCCAACACCCTCCAGAGCCATGCTGGTTCCGAGCTCGAGCTGGGATTGAACAGGACGCTTTCTCGCGGTACTGCACGCCGTCCGACAATCAGCGACGAGCGTCCTGATGAGCTGCACAACGTTGAAGTTGCATCTGCGCACAGCTCTGCCGAGGAGGATGTGTGCTTCCCTGTGGCCGAGGATACTGGCAAGACTACTAGGTTCGACTATGAAGAGTTGGAGGAGTTTGTCGCAGAGGCTCAAGAGAAGACGCCCATCGGACAGCCTCTGCGCCACAAGGCGAGCACCGCTTCCAACCTTTCCACAAAGCCTAAGGTCTTCTCCGATCTCCGCCCCAAGTCCAGCCAGTCAGGAACACCCAAGACAGACAGCGACGCTTTAAGTCTTAAGAATGCGGACCCTGCGATCCAAGAGAAGCTCGCCGAGGAAGGTCTGTCACACGTATTCGCGGAGAAGCCGGCGCCAGAAGTGAAGCTCAACCGCTGGACGTTCTTCTCGTCTGAGTTGGACGACACGATCCATGCTGCCGAACTGGGCGGCCTGCTTATGCCCGGCGAACGCTTCCGCGATCTGTTTGACACCCCATCAGACGGCGGCGTTTGGTGGCTCGACATGGTCAACCCTACAGAAGAGGAAGTCTTCGCCATCTCCAAGGCTTTCGGCGTGCACCCTCTTACCCGTGAGGATATCTGCGTCCAGGAGCCGCGCGAAAAGGTGGAGCTGTTCCATCAATACTACTTCGTCTCTTTCCGTTCCTTCTTCCAAGCCGATAAGGAATCGGAGGAATACTTGGAGCCTGTCAACTTCTATGCTGTCGTATTCAAGGAGGGCATCCTAACTTTCACTTTCTGCGAGAGCCCACACACGTTTTCTGTGCGCAAGCGTATCAGCCGTCTTCGCGACTACATCAACCTCAACGCTGACTGGATCTGCTACGCCCTCATTGACGACATTGTCGACAGCTTTGCACCTGTCATTCGGGGCATCGAAGATGAGGCAGATGCGATTGAGGATCAGGTCTTCACTGCGCGCATTGAAGATTCTCGCGCCATTCTTCGATCGATCGGCGACTGCCGCAAGCGCGTCATGCAGCTTCTGCGTCTCTTGGGCGGCAAGGCAGATGTCATCAAGGGCTTCGCCAAGCGTTGCAACGAGTCGTACAGCGTTGCTCCTCGGGGTGACGTGGGCATGTACCTCAGCGATATCCAGGATCACGTCGTCACTATGATGTCCAACTTGGCTCATTTCGAGAAGATGCTCAGCCGCGCACACTCCAACTACCTTGCGCAAATCTCGGTTGATCAAGTCATTCAAGGCAACGACAGCAACGCTACGCTTCAGAAGGTCACGGTCATCGCTACGATTCTCGTTCCGCTGAACTTGATTTGTGGTCTGTTTGGTATGAACGTCAAGGTTCCTGGTCAGGATGGCAGCCTCGGATGGTTCTTTGGCATTATTGGTGTTATTGTCCTTTTCGTTGCTGTCTGCTTGGGAGTTGCTAAGAGGATGCGTTACATTTGATTGAATTCGTTGGTTGGTAATTCTCTGTTTTGTCAGTTGGACACTGTCTGTCTTCGTTTCTCCTATGTTTAGTATCGTGGTTTCATTCAGTACATGTATTAACGCCAGCGCTGGTGTACCGGAGGTTGTCATAATTCGGGTCACGTCATACACGATCATGTCGGCATTAGATATACTCTAGATTAGAAAAGTATTGTTCTCGTCGCAAAGCTCTCTATTGCCAGCACATCGCCTGAGTATGAAATCGGATACATATGTGATGATCTCACAGATCGACAATTACGTGTGGCTTTCGGTAGAAGGTAGTAAGAAGCAACCCAGACAAGCCAAAAAAGAAGGCGCGCATACCCTGTACAATGAGGCATGAAGCTAGGGATTGGCGTACGCGAATAGACAAAGCAAAAGAATGCTTTACAGTATTGTTTCAGGTGTCGATAGTGCCCATGATGACATCACATGAAACGGCATGCATTGGTAGCGCGTGTTTATACTACCTTGCTCATACGCTCACATGACATCCAGAGACGCGATGATACCTAGATGGAAGGGTAGATAAGCCGCAACTTTGTGCTATCACGCGAGCAGCCAACCTTGGGACGCATCCAAGGTGACATTCCGTACCGTTCCTATTCGTTCCGAGGTCGGAAGGAACACTGCCAAACCCAGAATGCGCGGCATACAAGGCGCCGAACAGCAACTGTGCCGACGATGAAAGAAACGTGGTGACGGTGAGCCCCTGCAGTCATGAGGACCAAGTAAGGAAGGTTCCACTCGTTGTCCGCGAGTTCGGAAGCGGTGACTTAGGCTCCTGCCGAGGGGCGGACTAAGTGATCCTTGTTTCGGCGAGAGCATTCGATCATGCAGCGCCTCAGCCGACCGACTCCCTTAAGTACAAACTCTCGCCCTTCCGCCGCTCTCTCACTCCTTGCACAAACCACCAGGACGTTCTCTCTACCCACACTCTCACTTTTACACGTAGACAACACCCAACCGACCGCCTCGGCGAATACAGTACTGTTCCTGCACCCCCACGAACACTACACGCTTCAGCAAGGACCCCGGACCGAGAAGGCAACATGGCGGAAATGGCGCAGCGGATACTTATGAATGAGTTCAAGCAGCTCAGCAAGGAGAAGTGGACAAACATCGAGGTGCGTCTTGGTGACATTCCCTCCAGAGTCACAGTCCTGGTGGCGATGCAGGAGCACCGAGCTAACCACGTCACAGCTCATCAACGAGAACGTCTTTGAGTGGAGTGTCGCCCTGATAGTCATGAACGAAGAGTCCATGTACTACGGCGGCTACTTCAAGGCCAAGATGACCTTCCCTCGCAACTACCCGCATAGCCCGCCAGGTACGTCACTGCCAATACGCGGATCCAGGGATGGAAGGAGTCGCGAAGCGCAGGGCAGGAGCTAACGGTTTACCAGATTTCAAGTTCATCCGCCCGCTCTACCACCCCAACATTTACCCCGACGGCCGCCTATGTATCTCCATCCTCCACCCACCCGGCGATGACGAGATGTCCGGCGAGACTGCCGCCGAGCGCTGGTCACCCGTGCAGCGTGTCGAGACGGTCCTGATATCCATCCTCTCTCTGCTGGACGATGCCGAGGTTTCCTCACCCGCTAACGTCGACGCGGGAGTCATGCTGCGCAACAAGCCGGACCAGTACAAAGAGATGGTCAAGAAGGATCTCGAGCTGTCAAAGGCGGACATCCCCACGGACTTTGTCATGCCAACGCACGAAACAGCGTGGAAGAAAGAGAAGGACGAGGGCGAGTTTGACATGAGCTGGGAAGACAGCGATGCCGAGAGCCTGGACTTTGGTGGCAGCGAGAGCGATCCGGACGAGGACCAAGAAATGGATTCCGACTTCGACGGCGATGAAGATGATGCTGAAGATGATGAGGACGCCGATACCCCCATGAAGCGCTAGACGTTGCCCATGGACTGCCACTCTGAGCCCCTCATCATGCGAATGTCTCACATCCGCATGCCAGGGCTACTTAGGGGTGGGTCCCCAGCGTCTGAAGAGGATTCGGGTTCTGACACCCTCATCCTTGTCCCTTCACCGGCAGTATCACCTACCTCAACACTCCTCTCTTCGTCATCATGCGATCCGACAGCCCCTACTCCATTCCCCCCTCACCCCCGTCCAACAATATGGTGGACACTCGCGCACTAGGAACTGCGCATCGCCCTCTCACCCCCTTGCCCAACTTTCCATTCCTCGGTTTTCTTCCACGTCTTCATCATAAGCGCGGCGTTCGGTTTCGGCATGGTATTCATGGCGTTACGCCTGCAACGGGCTTTCACGCCTAGGGTTCGGTCACGGTTAGGATGGCATCTACACTGCATAGGAACGGAGTTCTTGGATCATCTTTTTATCATGCGTGGCATGGCTACTTTGGGCTTGCAATTGGCGGCGCAGTGGCTGCATGTGAATGACCGTAGACTAGGGAATGCATGAATTACACAGACATAGACCCATGTGATCAATTTCCCATACCCTGGTCAGCTACCCATGCATTTTACTTTCCTGACCTTTGCTAGCACACACAGGGTGTATGTCAACTCCGATCGCGAGTCTTTTCGGGAAGAAGCTTGATATTGTGCTCGACCCCACCCCCACTGACCGTATTCAGCACCCATTGCCCATCTTCACCCGTGAGCTGGTCTGTGTCAAACCCTGTGTTGTCCAAATATTCAAAGAAGCTGTTCATATAGATCCCCTTGCAGTTCGGTGTTGATGTACATGCAGCATCTTTGCATAGCGTTGTTTTCTCGCAAATTTCGCAAAACCATTCTTTCTTGTCTTCATCGACAGGCCCTCCAAGCAACCAGCCCTGTTGACTGAGTGCTGATCGAAGGTTCCCGGCGGCTTTCGGTATCAGCTTTTTGTTTATATGCTCGCTGAGATTTTTGGCGATCGTCTTAAGCATTCCAGGTGATATTCGTGTTGATGAATCGGCGACAGGAATTGTGATATGTCCAGACTTTGACTCTTCTTCTGACATAATGATACAGTGACTGTATTGGAGTCGCTGGGAACAATGTCGGTACACGCAGGCTGTTCTGTAAGAATGTCGATGTGAGCTCCAGATAGCGACGGTATGTCCGATGATGGATGTGTAAGCCGGATCGAGATGACAGTAATTGTAAAGTGCAGTGAGGACTTCAAAGTTTGAAGAACTGATAAAAGGTCGCTGCATAGGTCTTTATACTAGCGATGACTCGAATATCTATTGGTCCGTGAGATGTTGTACAGTGATGAAGGTTACAAGCTTAGAGGACAGTGCGTGGGTCTGGCTACCCTTTGAAAAGGTCGAAGCTATACGCTAGACCCTCCAGTTTGACAATTCTTCCATGGCCTGAACAATCCATGGCTCACCACCCAATGCCCATAGCATTTCTGACTTTCTCCATGGTGCTCTCGGCGATTTTCTCTGCTCGCTGTGCACCTTCTTCTGCATGCTCTATGAGCACCTTCTGATCTCCGCTCATCAATTCTTGATAACATTCTCTTGTATCCTTGATGCCGAGATCAACGGTATCGGCGACCTTCTCTTTCAGAGCCCGCATGCTTAGAGTCTTCAAGTCATTCGCTAGATCTTCCGGCGACGCAGCGAGAGACTCATCGAAATGAAACATCAAATCCACTAGGTTTGTCACACCCGGTCTGGTCTCGCGGTCATAACTCACTCCCTCAATAGAGTCTGTCAATGCCGTCTTCAACTTGGCATGTATCTCCTCTCTTGAGTCTGTTATCAAGATACGACTCTTCGGTTTCGGGTCGCTCTTGCTCATCTTTTTTGTTGGTTCAGTCAGACTCATGACTCGTTTCGCGGGACTCAGAAGTGTTTGTGGAACCGTCAACAGAGGCTGTGACTCTGAGTAGACGTGGTTAAAGCCACTGGCCAGCTCGCGCGTGAACTCGAGATGCTGCGCTTGGTCTTCACCGACTGGGACGTGTGTTGTGTTGTAGAGGAGGATGTCGGCGGCTTGTAGGACCGGGTACGAAAAGAGGCCGAGTTTAAGGGCGTCTTTGTTGTTGGAGGGATCGAGAGGGGATGCATTGGATGGGAGGGAGAGCTTGCTCTAAGACAGTGTCAACATTATGCCTCCTAGGTCTACTTCCGCGGTTGTATACCTTCCACTGGGTCATTCGTCCCAAATACCCCATGCTTGCACCACAACTCAGGATCCACATCAACTCTGCATGCTGCTTCACGCTACTTTGCGCAAACATGATGCATCTCTTCGGATCAAGTCCCACTGCCAGCAGACTAGCCAGCATCTCTTTCCGCCATCTTGCCAATTCGCTCGGATCTTGTTTTATCGTAATCGCGTGCAAATCGACTATTGAGAACAGAAGCGTTGTATCCGGAGATGCCTCGTCTTGCAGCTTGACCCATTGCCGCAGTGCGCCGAGATAGTTTCCAAGATGCGGTACGCCGGTGGGCTGGATTCCCGAGAATATCACCTGCTTCTGGTTCTTATCGGCATTCTGTCGCGCTGGAGAGGCGATGGAGTACTCCCGCAGGCAGCCTGAGCATATACGAAAAGATGAGGGGGCTGCACGCTGCAGCGGTCGAAGTGAAAACATTGAAGTCAGGTCGTGGTATCAAAATCGGAATCGCGGTTGCTCAGCCACCAGAAAGCGCGGCCGGGGTCTTGTAGCGTCGTCATTGTGGCACTGCCGCCCGCCAACAACCACCCGACTGCGCCCAACCACGGCCTCCTTCTCCATTCACGCTACTCTCCCCACAACACCACGACTACCACCCACGATCCCAAGCCTCACACACCTCACTATACATACCATCGCCCGGAAGTAGAGGGACTACAGCGCAATCATGTCTTGGACCGGTAAGGAGCCCCTCGACGATCATCCAGGAAGCCGCCGGCTCACCAGACGCAGGGTTCAAGAAAGGCGTCAATCGCGCGACAACGCAGGTTCTTATGAAGACTGGCCAAGTCGAGCGCACAAATGACCGCGACTTCGAGACTGAGCAGCGGTACGCTCTCCAATCCATCAGATGCATACTTCATACAAGAATAAGGCATCCCACCGTAGTCCCACGACTAACATGACGCCAGCCGGTACCGTACTATGGAGACCGCCGCGAACAAGCTGCAAAAGGAAGCAAAGGGCTACCTCGACTCTCTGCGCGCCATGACCGCCTCACAAATGCGCATCGCCGAAACCATCGACGCCTTCTACGGCGACGCAGGCACCAAAGACGGCGTATCGCGCTCCTACAAGCAAGCCGTCACCGACCTAGACGCCGAGACGATAAAAGCCCTCGACGGCCCCTACCGAACAACCGTCCTAGACCCCATCCAGCGATTCTGCTCTTACTTCCCCGACATTAACGCCTGCATCACAAAGCGAGAACACAAGCAGATGGACTACGACCGCATGCGCGCGCAAGTCCGGAAGCTCACCGACAAACCCGACAAGGATGTTACCAAGCTACCGCGCGCTGAAAAGGACGAACAACTCGCCAAGGCCGCGTACGATCAACTCAACGACACCCTCACAACTGAGCTGCCCCAGCTCATCGACCTGCGAGTACCATACCTAGACCCTAGTTTCGAGGCCCTGGTCAAGATTCAGCTGAGGTTCTGTGCGGAAGCGTACTCAAGAATGGCGCAAGTGCAGCAGTATCTGGATGCGAACACAAGAGATCAGTATGCACAGGGCGAGCTGGATGCGCGGGTGGAAGAGGTGTTGCAAGAGATTCGGGACTTGAGTATTGCGGGTACTGTCTAAGAGCTGGAAGGAGAACATGTTCTTTCTATATCGTACATGGTAATTTCTGTGGCGTCAGACTCGTTGGTTTTGCGGCATTGGTTGGATTGCGTGCGGACTTGTGGGATCATCATGAATGGATGGTAGAACTTGTTCTAACGATTGATTTTACACCATCCAAGATTGATGACGTTCTACCTAACCTAGTTATTCCAAATCTCTTCATTTGGTCCGGGCGCCTGATACGAGCTTTCGTGTTACCTCGATGACGGGTCTGGTCACAGGATAGAGTGGCTAGTAGACATGACTTCAAAGAAGAGTCGATTGATACCGTGTCTTCCCAATTCCCCGCGATTCTGACAAGATGGATGACTCTGCTCGCCCACATGGTCAGATATGTGCTCAGCAGTCAGAAGAACGGCACGATAGTCATACAGGAACGAGTATAAAAGGGGTTTCTTTCTGTCCCCAGTCTACAAGTTTCCTACACAGTACAGGCCACAGCAGTGAAATCACAGCATCAAGATACAAAAACAACACTTCCCTCAAAGTATCCTCTACTTCATTACTATCGTCTACTTCACAGCCACTGTCCCACAAAGATCTTCCCAAAAACCACTCCAAAGTCCAACACTACCAACCAGTCTCCATATTTACACCTCACCACGTTCATACGTACGCCCCGAAGACTTCGCTGATAATGTCAAACCCCAACAATCTCGCACCGAATGAATGGCACTTTGGTACCAGCGCAGGCTTCAATGACAATAGCCCTCCATTCGATTACTGGTTTTGCGACTATTGCAACCCGATGCAGCATAACTATCTTGATGCGGAGCAATGCCAGGGGTGCTCGAAAAAGAGATCCAAGAGGGATAGGGACGGGTACAAGACTCATCCCAACAGAGGGGGCGAAGCAACGAGGTCGAAGTGTGACATATTGTGAAGAAGGTTGATGCGGGATGATGCGGGGCTGGTGACGGAGAAGGGAGGTATTGGCTGCAAGGTGTCAGGATTGGGTGTTGAGACGGGGAGAAGTTGTGGTGTTTGACTTGTGGTCATAGGTCGGGGCGGTGATTGCAAGACACACAAAAACTGCTTGTGTAGGCCAAGCCAATAAAGCCCTTTACTGAGCAAGGACTTCTACATGTTGTAAAATGGTGATGGACCGCACATACCGAGTTTAACCGAGCACTACGAATTCGACACGAATACCTCATTAACAAGAACATCTGACTACGACGCGGATGTTGACTCTTCAACCTTCTTACATGTCTCCGCGATGAACTTTACATCCTTGAAAACTGGAGTAAATCTTTCGAGATGACCCTTGAACACACATGACGCGCCGACATCAGGCTCCTGAACGTCCTTCGACAATTCCACAGTGACATCCTTCTCCCAGCCATCCGCATAACGAGTCTTCTCCCTCTTGACGCTCACTTTGACACTCCTACCATCCACCTTTTTGACTCTACCAGCAATTCGAAAGCAGCACCCTCTCCTCGGTTCGACAGTCTCAGGATCCTTGAGAACGTCGAGACTCTTGGGCCAATCATTGGGGGGAGAAGATCCGGTACCAAGACTTCCACTGAAACGATAATGCCCGGCTACCACAGACTTCAGGTTCTCTGCCCACACCGTGTCCTGACCAGTGAGTGCCACTTTGACTTCGGTACTCAGAGGAGATTCCCAAGGCCAACCACATGGCAGTATCTTTAACGGATCGCCCCACGAGCCACCTACTCCGAACTCCGTAAAATGTCGCTCAGCACGGATGACCGTTGCAGTGAATGCTATGTGTATCGGACTCAATCCATTGGCGAAACGTGAATCGTCCAGCGCTTCCTTGAATTCGTCCAGTTTGACATCTCGCGAGAGGTCCTCGTGAAATACCATGCAATTGTCACGGTCCATCAGTTCCCAGAACCTGCAAGTGCTGCTCCGTTCGTTCATCCTCAGATGACCTTGCATCGGGACCACGGCCTCGTACTCGTAAATACTGGGACCACCTGGCTGGTCGTTGTCCAGAAGTTGTTCTAAGCGTGGGTTTCGTTCCAACCAAGACTCCGGTAGGTTGCGCAGACCAGCTCTCAGTGCAGGATGTTTCTGGAGTAAGTCGTGTTGACCTGTCATCCCGTTGAAGACGATGAAGTCTTCGATATAACTATAGTCTACATTGTGTACTTCTTGTATGGTTTTGCCTCTGTATTTGCCGAAGGTGAAACGGTAGGGACCGCGGCTCTTGGGTGCTGCGCGCGTCTGGGTACGTCGCTTCTTGGAGGACTCGGCATTGGAGGATGCGGCTGGTTGCCGCTGTCGCTTGACGCCGGAGCTCATCGTGGGTGGTATGAAAAGGAACTGTTCGTTCCAGGACACGATCGCGGAAAGACAAGAAGAGAATTTTGCAGAGTCGAGTTCGGACCTGGAGAAGAAATAGTCAAGCGCTACAGGCGAGGAGATCTCGATCGCATAACACGGTATGCATAGGAAATTGTGCCGCAACTTGAGTAAGGGTGTGCGCCTCGAATTTACGCGCAACGCGTTGACGATGTAGAGCACCTGCACGACGCGTTGCTAAACCACCCAAAGTGATACGCCCTGGAGAAAGCAAATGGAAGACGAAGTCGGCAAGGAGCTTTTGGTCAATTCTTGAAGACACTACCGCGGCACGATGTGAGGGTCGAGCGGAGAATGCGACTAGTCGTCCTCGCATGTGCACGGCGGTGGCAGCCGTTTGAAAGTGGGGGCTGACGTGGCCCGAGCGTGTGCTGCAAGGATCCCTGAACGTGTCACGGTGATTACCATTCCGCCTGCGTCACCTACCTTCCACTCGGAAACTGCGTGTCGTCCCTCAATGTGCGACACTCTGAATGGAGATCCCGCGCTGAAATCGACGACGCTTCGTGCTGTCGTTGTAGCTATAGCTATCGCCTTGCGGGACCTCATTCCATCCGCAGGACCATCCAATCTATTCCTTTCTTTCGAGAGGGGACGGACGAGGAAGTGACGAACTCTGGTGCAACGTAGGGTTGCATAAGTGCTTCTTCCCGGGTCCAACTCCGCGGGGCGAGGTCTGGGATGACATAGGTGGAGCAGTCGAAGTCTCGGTAGTGTCTACCCCTTGTGTTCTCGTCCGTATAACCTACTGCAGCCCGCACTTGGGACTACCCAGAGTTATCTCATAACATCCTATTTACATATCAATCTGTAGCTAAAACTCAACAACCCCAAGCCATGAATAACTCCGACGATGACGCACCAATAATTCAATGGAGACCTCGACATAAGAACCAAGCATCTGTCTTATCGCCCACCAAAGATTCTGGTATCAGGAAGTCATCTGGGAAGCAACCCTTATCGCAGTCTTCCCTGGAACATGCAGTTCAAGCCTGTGAAGCAGACACATCAGATGAAGTGTACGAGTTCGACTTGAAAGCATTGCGGCCAGACCATCAAACAAGTCGCAGACACCAGCCCCAGCTATTTGCTCTGGTGTCTGAACAATGAGGACATGATGGAAACGAGGATCGACCTAGCCGATGGCTTCAGAGCTTTATCGAACGACTTTCTCAACTCGCAATTTAGTTCCCTGCGCGAAGCCACGCGGAAGAGGGGGATTCATCCCCATGACATCGCGGACGCTCTCTTGGTAGAGGGACAAGATGATCACGGGAACCTTTGGAATATCACAAAATGGGACAGAGTAATCGCACAGAACGTGGGCCCTGAGTTTGAGCAAGTCAACATAGGAGGCTCACTGCCGACCACGATAATGTTCACCGGCACCATCGTCAGAGTAGAGCAATGTTGGGCCGACGAAGGCGAAGACGGCCTGATGACTTTCACGATACTGCCATGTGGCTTTCCCCGGAGCGAAACCATCAAATGCCACTTCATCTCTTCAGCTACTGCGCCCTTGTACGAGGAATTGCCAGATATGCTCTATAAAACGTATAAAGTCATCGGCAAGTTCTGCAGTCCCGGTCTCTACAGCAGCATCCACGACATCAAGAGCATCGAACTGGCGAGGAATCCAGAACCTGCTAGTCTGAAGACTGGCATCTGCTGGAAGTTTGAGGGCCGCGTCACCTATACTTGCATCAAGCCTTTGTTCGAGTCCGTCTTAGTCACGTACCTTGAGGTTGATCGTGATGCACGATTTCCTGTGTACGCCAAATTGTTAGAAGGCGCGCCAATACCAACAGTCGGGAAACTTTATCGTGCAAAGGGTATCACAATCCCGGAAGACGTCAGTGAACATGGTCTAGGAGAGACCACTTATTACGCTAAATGGCTTGAAAAGCTTCCGGAGCCTAATCCTAGCAAGGCAATCTAGCACAGACACTGATAAGCGAGCAAATTGAATTCTGTGGGAAAAGAGGAGATGACATCTTCAAAAGTTTTATTAATGCCCTAGGGTGGGTTTCGTTGGCATCTTTCTGGAGGAGAAAATATAATACCAACAAAGCATAACCTTGAAAGAAACACGAGCAAATTTGTGCCACCCATGTCCGTCCCGATTGAAAGCGTATCACGAGCACCTTGAACGCTCTTCAACCTTTTCACACCCCCTTCTCAACATCCGTACTGTAATAGATCCTTTCCATAGTTCCCTAGCGCATTATGTCCAGTCCCGCTCCCAAGCTTCTTCATCAATAACACCCTCGTAGTAGACTTCAACAGGAGGTTCTCCCTCTTCCCATTCTCGTGGCTCCCGCCTTACATCGTACAGGACGACGCTGTGCTTGCCATCGTAATCATTTTCCTCTCCAATGACAGAGTATTCTTCGTGGATGTCCTCGGTAGAGTCCATACAAGGACCGACATGCTGTTGCATTTCAACTCCTACGTCTTTGAAGAAACTCCGGAAGAACGGAGTTTCTTCAATCGGAGCATCTACCAACGCGACATACACTACGATAGCATCGTTGGACAATCGGGGAAAAGATAACGAAGGAGCCTTCTCAGGATCGTGCCGAGCGAAATACATGGCCGCGGAGTTGGCAAAGTTGGCAATGACCTCGCATGCTCGCTCGGAGTATTGGTGGTATGGCCAACCCGTTTTGCCATATTGGTCTGCATCCGATTTCCGCATGATTTTGTCCACCTTCTTTACGCTGACTTTCTTTGATCTGGCTTCTTCGCACACTCTGCAAATTTTGCTGATAACCTCACTGTTACCGTCCATCTTATCCCATGACCGTTCATTAACGATGATACGGGGGACTCGCATTGCTTGCGGGACTCGCTGTGCTTCAACGATAGATTTCATCAGAGGTGCAGCCTCCGCACAAATTGCTCGACACGTGAGATGAATGGGCGTTATGGATTCGTAGTTCGTGATGGCAACGTATTGATTCACGAATCGAAAGCGACGTTGGCAATCTGCGGCATATTCGTAGATCATAAGACGCAGCTCCTTTGGTAGATCGAGGAAGCGGTCAAATGACCGGGGCCGACGTGGATTTAGCGCAAGTTCTTCGTAGTACTCTCGTGTGTCTTCGTTCATGTCGTCGCTGTTGCAGGTATCGGAGTGTTCTTCCCCAGAATCGGACAATGTGGAATCCTCCCCAAGTTCGGACAATGTAGGACCCTCCTCAGAATCGGACAATGTAGAATCCTCCCCAAGTTCGGACAATGTAGGACCCTCCTCAAGTTCGGACAATGTAGGACCCTCCTCAGAGTTGGACAATGTAGAACCCTCCTCAGAGTCGGACGATGTTGAAGGTGTATCGCGCATGGCTTCAGACCAGATTGCATGAGCCTCAGAACGGATTGCATCAGTCTCAGAACGGATTACAGCAGTCTCAGAACGGATTACAGCAGTCTCAGAACGGATTACAGCAGTCTCAGAACGGATTGCAGCAGTCCTGGAACTAATTACAGCGGTCCCAGAATGGATTATATCATCCCAAGAGAGGGATGTTTCAGTCCTAAAAAGGGATGCATCTCTCCAAGAAAGAGATGCAGCAGCCCAAGAAAAAGATGCATCAATCTTAAGGGATGCAGCAGTCCTGGAACGGATTGCAGCAGCCTTGGAACGGATTGCAGCAGCCTTGGAACGGATTGCAGCGTTCTTGGAATTTATTGCAGCAGTCCTAGAACGGATCGCAGCAGTGGTAGTTCTAGAGTTCGACTCGTTGTCGGAATTCGAGTTGTTGGCAGTCGAGTTGTTGGAAGTCGAGTCGTCGGAAGTTGAGTCGTCAGTAGAATCCTCACTCATGGTTGCGGAATGGCGGTTAGGTGTCTCAGGAGGAGCGGTCAAGTCCCCTGATGGAACCCAGGCGGCTGTCGCGAGCTAAGGTCATTACATAATCAGAGCCACTCGGGTCTTATTGGTGCCAACCTAACAAGCCAATTTCCGGCCCCACAATCCCGAGGTCTGAGGAAATCTGTAATCTTGGCTCATCAGCGCGGCACGATGCCTGAGGCCATTGAATAAGCGGTTCATATACCTATGTAGGTATGCTTTCTTAGCGCCCGTTCGGTTGTAGTCTGTGTAATGATGGTAGATATCATGACGACACAATCAAACACCGTGATGACAGGCATGAAGTTATCAAATCTGGCTTATTGTTTACATCTAAGACGAGTTAATCTGCACTTTTCTTGGACTCATGATGAACAGGAATATGGGGATGCCGTACACGATCCAGCTGCCAAAGTCGAGTGCATCTGGGACAAACGTTAGTTGTTTGACCGCAATGTACATCCCACCACTGAGGATCGTAGGCAATGTAATGTTGCTGAGTAGGATAGCACAACGGTATCCCAGTCGCTACAGATAGCCAGCAACTTCAGATCCATCCATGATAGTGTATGGTTCTTTAGACAACTCTTGTATTTGAGTCATCAGGAAAGTCGCTGAAGGTTCCTTTCCGTAAACATGAATATGAGACCTTGATTGAAAATGGTAATGAATATGTAACTGATTCTAGCCAGAGGGCTAGCCAGACTCGGTACACTATATTATTGCTCACAAGCGATTCACCTGAACCCACTGCCAAAGACCACAACTTCCTACCCGATTGGTTCCCTTATGGGCAAATGATCATGAAACGTAAGGATGCCTGCCTCTTCTTTCGTACGTCAACCCTGTCATGAACGCTATCCGTAGCTCGTAAACCATTGTCCATGCAGCGTTTCCAAGCTGCAACAGCCGCACACCTTGAGAAGCTGGGTCTCTCATGCACAGCAGAGGTTATATCCCGAACTTCGTCCTTATCATTATCGTCTAGCCGTGCGACTGCCAGAAGAGTGTTATGCTCGCGACTGCTCTACGAGGCATGAGGCTTGCCAGCTGAGTCGGCCTTGGCACGGAGGTCGGCAGCGGTGGA